ATTATAAGAGTTTGCGTAATAAAGTTAATAAACTAATAGGTGAGACAAAATCTACTTTCTATATCAACAAAATATCTGAATGTGCAGAAACTAAGGATTTAAAAAAATGCTGGTCTACAATAAATTCCCTGCTAGGGAAACAAAATAAATCCAATTACATTAGTGAGCTCAAAGTTGGTGAAAATGTCATCACAGACCCTAATCTCATTGCGGAGCATTTTAATACACACTTCATCAACATTGGAGTGTACCCTGATGGAAATGATACGCCAAACGAATGTGGAGAAAATCTTGATTTCTCTGACACAAACATCCATTCCCAAACTAATAATAAATTTAATTTTTCTCTCATTAAGGTTGATAGTGTCCTCTGTAATTTGAAACACCTTAAAGCAAATAAATCCACTGGCCTAGATGCCATCCCAGCGAAAATACTAAAACTAGCTGCCCATATTATTGCCCCTTCCTTAACGTATATTTTTAATTTATCTCTTCAAAGCGGTATTTATGTTAACGATTGGAAACGAGCTCGAGTAATTCCTATCTTCAAATCTGAAGATAAAAGTAAATGTGAAAATTATAGACCCATTTCTATTTTGTCAATTGTAAGTAAAGTCTTTGAAAAAGAAGTGTTTAGGCAAGTGTATACGTACGTGAATGAAAGTAATCTTCTCTCAAAGTATCAATCTGGCTTTCGGCCACAACACTCAACCTTATCAGCCCTCATTAAAATATGTGACGAAATCTTAAATAACATGGACGAGGGGAAAATAAACTGTATAGTATTTTTAGACATACGGAAAGCTTTTGATTCAATAAATCACAATATTTTATTAAGTAAAATAAGATCCAACTTTGGCATTAGCGGTAATGAATTACTCTGGTTTGAATCATACCTAACGAATAGGGAACAACAATGCGTAGCTAATGGGATACTATCCTCCGTTGGAAAATTAAAATGTGGGGTCCCCCAGGGGTCGATCCTGGGGCCGTTGTTATTTTTGCTCTACATCAATGACCTACCACAATGTCTCCAAAAAACCACGCCGGGTCTTTATGCTGATGACACGGAAATTTACGCGTCATCACACAATGTAAATGATCTTATTGACAACATAAATTATGACCTAAATATTGTTACGCAATGGATGGAGAATAATAAGCTACAAATTCATCCTAAGAAATCTAAATGTATGTTTATTGCAACCCCTTATAAAATTAAGAATATACCCCAAGGAATACCAATATTAATTAATAATGTTCCTGTCCCAAGATTAAATTGCTACAAATGCCTCGGTGTCACTTTAGACGAAAAATTGAACTGGGAACATCATATTGATATGATTATTAAGAAAGTTAATGCAGGCATTGCAGTAATTAAACGTATGAAAACCTGTGTTCCTCAGGAATTCTTACAAACAGTTTACAACGCCTTAATACAACCCTATTTTGACTACTGCTGTCAATTGTGGGATACCTGTGGAATCGTCCTAAAGGAAAAACTACAAAAATGTCAATCCCGAGCTGCTAGAGTAATACAGGAGCATCTTATGATATTAGGTCGGCCGATGTTCTTGCAACTTTGGGGTGGCAAACTCTCGACAATAGGCGAAAATACTTGAAGTCCATTTTTATTTACAAAATCTTAAATAATGAAACTGCTCCAAACCTGAAAGAAAATTTTTTAAAAATAAGTGATTGTCCAATTACACACCAATTAAGAAATTCTCAAACAGATCTGGTACTTCCATTCCCAAAATCACAATTTAAGAAAAAGACCTTCAGTTATAGTGGAGCAACTCTTTGGAATAACTTATCAATTACTGCTAAACAATCCAATTCTTTGAGTTGTTTCAAAAGACTAATGAAACTACATTTTCGAAAACCATAAGTATGTAAATAGTTTTGTATGTTTGTTATTTATTTATGTTTGTTAATTGTCAAAATAATAATCATGTAAATAGTTTGTATTATGTATATGTATTAGTCTTATTCTTACACGTCCTCTATGGAAACCATCAACAGATGTTAGGGCTAACGTGTTTAAATAAATTTTTATGTATGTATGTATGTATGTATGTATGTATGTATGTATGTATGTATGTATGTATGTATGGGTAGCAAGGGGTGGCATGATTGAGCACTTATTAATTGACTATTAAAAATAGCAAGTGTATATTTTTTCAAAGTATTTTAAACAGCCTGTATATAGTTTAGGTGATAAATAAGGTCGAACTGTGTAATAAAGCCAGGTAACTGAAAGAGTAGAGAAAGCATCACAGCAGGAATCTATCTCGTCAATGATTTTGAAAGTTCCTTTTTAGCAGTATGCCAAACCCAGTTGTGCTATAAAGCTATTGTCTGTATTGACCCTATTGTTGTCATCATAAATTTTGCAATGCCAATAATTATCACTAAAATTATTGGTGAGTGAATAAGTATCTTTATAATTAAACACTTTATCGTTAGCCCTCTACTGTTTCTTGTGTATATTAAATAATGAACTAACCCAGAACGTGTATGTTTGCTTTCTGTTAAAACCGATATCGGTTTTATCTTTTACAATAATTCAACAAAGTCAAAGTACAACATGTAGATGACTTCTCTTGCGCTATTTAATTGCAACTATATGTTAATTGTACTAAAATAACTTTGTCAATGCTTTGGTATAAGGCCACAAAAGACATGTGCAGCCATACAGAGTTATAATCTAAGCATGTAATATCACAGGAGGCCCAGGCTCGATTTGCCCGCGCCCGCCTGTGCCTTCCTGCGCCCGCCTGAACAACTCAAAAACACTCAACCCTGATTGGACAACGAATTTCAACAAACATTTCAAATTTTTTTAACAGTGCTGTTATAATTTCAATCATACAATCAAAACTATTCACAAACGTTATAAAGTGTAAATATTACTGCAAGTATATAAAACTGTAGTACGTTAATATGTATAATAAATTGTATTTCACATTGTGTTTGTTAAAAAAATTTGAAATGTTTGTTGAAATTCGTTGTCCAATCAGGGTGAGTGTTTTTGAGTTGTTCAACGACTTCCGCTTTTTGCACAGCAAACCGGGCACGCGGATATATTTTGGCCGAATTTTGTTATTCCCTCACGGATTTCAGAGCGAATTTAAGCTCTTTGATTAAAGCATCGTTGTTTTGAGAGTTATACGGTATCATTCTTGCAGGGGATATCGATTAATCGTGAAGGAAATGCATTAAAAGCGAAAAATCGAGGATAGTTTCGTGTGACATATGCCAAGTCTGGGCTATTTTGGTCTCAATGTCTCCGTCCTTCCCTCGTTATAAGGAAGGCACAGGCGGGCGCGGGCAAATCGAGCCTGGGCCTCCTGTGGTAATATGAAGGCATTAGAGCCAACATAACAAAACGAACAGGTACATATTTTGAATCGTGCAGATTGACATAAAACCTATATAATATACCAATGGCAATGGGCAATGACAGAATCAATGCAAATTTGTCAAACATTATGAATTGAGATGGGTATACCAAAATGATATTACATGTAATAATACGCGAACATTTATTTACACAAAACTATAAGCATCGTGCCAAGTCGTTAAAATATATACAAACACATACCGTTAGCACTGCATATTTTCGATTTATGTAAAGGTCAGAGTTCATATATAGTTGATAAGCTTTTTTAGCAATACACTAAGTGAATGTATCCATTTTATTTTGACAAATACATCTGACCTGCGCTATATTAATATATACAAAGGACGGTTTTTAAAAATCACAATGTATTACAGCAATCAGTGATCAAGAAACAGACGACAACAAGAGTCTAAACCACTGGTCTAAACTAAAATACCGCGACCCATATCACAAATAATGTTTTATCGTAGTGTAATTGGTTTTATTTCAACTTCGAAAACTGCCAAATGCGATCATTTCAACTAAATTGACAAGTTCTATTATCTTTAGGAATGACTGTAGTTAATAACTCTGCCCCACGTACCCACCCTAACGACAAATTACGCTATATCCCAAAATCTGGGATATCACGTGACCATACCCGAACAGGGTCTCGCCGGAGCCGGTGTTTGGAGGGCGTGGCGGAGGCGAGACCCTGTGAAACAGTTTATCACATAACATTAGAAGCAAATGTTATAAATATTACAATAATTTACAATATATAATTAACATTAGAAGCAAATATTATTAAATATTACAATAATTTACAATAACGACAACGATTCCTCGAACTTTTGTGAACTTGGCCAAAGAACAAAAGAATATTTAAATAAAACAACTGAAATTGCCTAAATAACTTTCAAAGCACAATAAATCACTACAAACATAAATCGTATACACATAATACACCCCCCGGAAAGTTAACACTATGACTGAATGACTGACTGTCTGACGTGAATTTTCCCAGTCATCACAATAATGCGCAGTTTCAAAGAAACTCTGCACTATAAACGAGGGAAAATAACATTTCTTCTAATTGAGCTGCCATTTTTAATATTTTTGCTGAAATTGATCTCTTAATTAATAAAATAGTTGTACTCCTCCCAACAAATCAGAATTTGGTAATTTTGTCCCACAAGTCAAGAAATTAGAAATAGAATTATTGTGAAAAAAGTGAAAAAATAGTACCGAGCAGAAGTTAGGTACTGATTTGATAATTATTATTTACTATATGGCAAGATGGTACATCTGGAAAATGCAGCACATTGATTGGTTCCCGGACGGTCGGTAAACTGCAGTCCGTACTGCTAACTGATCTCATTGTATATGGCCCGCTATTATACAGATGGGCAGCTTGTTCATATTCAAACGGAAAGATAACAAATCTCTCGGTCAGTCATCTTCAGCCAGTCCGTTGGTTGTTTCCGTAGTTCATCCAGTTCTTGTCCTAGCTTGAGTTCATTATGATGCGCAGTTCAGATGGTTATAACCCCGACAATTGTATCTTGGCCAAAAAATATGCTAAAACATGAAATACCGTTATCTTGGCCAAATCTTAGAATTCTCCTCTAGCTTGTCTAATTATTCCCATATTACATTGAACGATGAAAAAGTCAGCTTCGTTTCCTCCCTTGTCTGGATGGTGTTTTAGACACAACTTGCGAAATGCGGTGTTAATCTCTGCGTTAGAATCAGCCATTTCCACACCCAAATATCGATAAGCATTTTCCACAGCTTCTTCTTTTGGTAACCCAAACATCCTGCGTGTCATGACATCAGAGAGACACTTCATTCCAGCTGCCGAGACCCATCCACCAACTAGACTTCCGATTGCAGCCCCAAAAGGTCCCGCCACGAATGATCCAATGGCAGCTCCTGCAAAACCTCCCACTACACCTGCTCCTATTGTGAACGTTGTATCCAGCAAATTTTTTATGCATCGTTCTCCTGATATTTCATCTCTCCACCAACGACGGATATTAACATAAGCACTGCAGGTGAGATAGACAGCAGCCAGACCCACCATTACGATCCTGCCTCCCGTTTTATCTACTAGACTAACAACATCATCTACTGTAGTCATCACCGTGGACAAATGATGTACTGCAATACCTGCACAGCTGATAACAGCAACTTGCAATGAGCGAGGAATGATACCCCGATACCTTTCCCAGACACCAGACTTCAACAATGAACGAATGAGTCGCTTAAAATAGAAATTCTGATCTCCCTCTTGATCATTTCCTACTCGTCTTGTTTCATCGGAAAGCCGTTTGGCCAACTCTCGAAAAGCTTTTTCCTTCTTCAAGGTGTCTTTCAAAGATTTCCATTGCGGTGCGTAAAGTTGGTCACTGTCGTCTTTATGCGCCTTGTCTTCTTCGTCAAGGAAGAACAGTACTCTGACGAAATCTTCTACATTGTCTTTGAACACTTCAGCGAGTTTTTCAATTACTTCATCTTTCCAGACTTCTTTTTCTACAAAATCAATGAAAACGCGAATTTTTATGAGTGCGTAATCTCAGTGTATGGGCCTGCATGTCTGCAACTGGTTTTAATCTCTCTTCATGCATATGACAAACACGATCCCAGTTTGTTTCTTTATCCCATACCTGTGTTAAAAGCGGCTTTCTGATTGGTTTAGAGCAGGTGAGCTTGTCGTCGAGCTCACCTGCTTTTTTCCGAACTCACCTGCTTTTCGCCCGAGCTCACCCGCTAAACTGCTTACGTTGCAATAACAATAA